CTGCTACTATGACTACTACTACCACTACTCCTCCTCCTGCTGCTGCTACTACTTGTACTACTGCTACAGCCACTGCTACCACGAGTACCACTACTTCCACTACTACCACTGCTACTACTACCACTACTAACTACTAACTACTACTCTACTGCAGTCGCCACCGCTGCTAATGTGCCGGACATGACTTTATGTTGCAGATTTGGCGCTTGAGGGTAGCGAATTCCTGGCTCATGGCGCAAGATGGCGAGGGCTGTGCCGGCGCCGGCGTGGACGCGGCTCGAACAGATCCTTCGATGTGGATGCGCCACTCGACCTTTATATTTGGTGAGCCAGCTTGAGAGCGCAAACCCTTCGACTGTGCAGGTTTACTGGTAAGTGTTCATACTTTTTTGCTCTGGGGCCTCTGAAATAAAAAGAATGCGACAGCGACGCTTCCAACTTCCGAGGTACATTGAGCGACCTGCCTTGCACAAGCTTTGGCGAAAGGCTCTCATGTTGCACGTCGCATTGCTGTGTGGCAGCGGTTGGTGCGGCGTAGTTTCTGCTACGTAGAGATGGCCGCCCTCGCCCAATACGAAGCAATCCTTCGGCATCCTTGACTTCGATAGCTTCATGCCTGCATCTGTTGAACAGAGTCCAGCAATCCCAAGCAACTGCCTTGCTGTGAAGCACGTCGTGAGCAGAAGAGAAAGCTTCCGTATGTCTTCCTAACTTGAATGCAAACAAGCCTGATCATTGAAGGAGGCTATATACAGTTAACAATCCCATCAAAGTTGCAGCCCTGCCTCGCGGACATGGTCACGCAATGCCGGAGTCAAAAACCCAAGCCGGAGAACCGTCCTCGCAAGGCGTCTCGTGGACATTACTCTTCCCGGCTCACATGATGCAGGGGCCTTCTGGCCGCTGGACATATTTCAGAACTCGTGGGGTTGCCTTTTGGCTTGGGGAAGTTCTCGCATTCAACACATCAGGGCTTTGAGTTTTTTATCCTCAAGGGCTGCATGACAGGAGCTTGTGTAAGGTATGAGTTGACTGTCGCAAGCACCAAGTCGTCGGAAGGAGCCAGTCTTGCATGCCAAGCATCTAGCTTGCCGAACCAGTCCGCCCAATGATTTTGGGCCCTGTGGTTGTTGCTCGAAAGCCCAATTTTCCATTTTCACAGCATGTCCCGTTCCTGTATACCGTATACTGCTTGTTTGAACATGTCCTGAGTCTCCGACAGTTCAGGTTGGAAGATCGTGCTGCAAGCTGCGGTGCGCGATGCCATGCTTGTGCGTGCCTGGGCCTGGTCGCATTGTGACGGTGATTCTAGAGGATGCATGGGTTTGGATTCGCCTGGCTTGGGAAGTCTACCGTATATGAGTTCAGGGCGTTAAGCTTAAGCCCTGTCATCTTAAAGTGGTTCTTCGGTTTTTGAATCTTGATTGTGTCCATTGCCTCCTAGAACGGAAGGCAGGCCAGTGTACTGTGTGAATTCTGAACATCGATGCGCGGACATGAACCTCGAATTCCTGAAGCCCTGTAATCGACATTGTCTGTTGACTCCTGCACATGATTTCAGTGGCAGCACAAAAAATGTTGTTTATGCCAAACTCCCAACTGCGAATCCTGCGGCGTGCGTCTTTGCTGATTAGTCTCGTTATGCATACCGAACGCGCAAGTGTGTACTGGTATAGGAGTATACATAACTTTGCCGAACTACCGTCATGGGCTGCAGGCTTGCCCCAAGCTACGCGCGACGATGGGGCCTGGCGCAAGGAGGCACGTGGTCTAGGCCTCTAGGCCCTCTAGGCCAGGAGTTTTCAGACCGTTACAGGTGGATTGTTGAGGAGTTAGGGCTTAGAAAGTCTTCGGAAAACAGATCACCAGAGCTTATTCTGGTGGAGTCATATTGCAGGCTTGCCGTGTCTTTGTCTTCCAGGGCCTGATGTGGTCGTCATGAGCTGATAGGGGGCTCGGACGGTCTGGGAATCACGATTCTGTTTGTGCCGCCGTTATTCAGCTGATGCATGCTGCCGAAGGGTAGCAACTCGCAGAGTAGGAACTCGAACAGGAGATATTCTCAGCCAGCTTCGCAATGGTGTGCGCCTTTTGGCTGATAAGTGCGGATTTGCATGCTGGACCGAGCGCTGCTCCTTGAACGAAGCAGCCACATCCCTTCTCGGTGCCCCCCCCCCCCCCCCCCCGCGTTTTCCGTGGGGATTGGGTCTGCTTGGGGTGCCTCCCCTGCCTTTTTTTTGGTTCGGGGTTAGGGGCTGAGGTTTAGCCTCAGTACCATTAATGTCACTAGTTGGTTCTTGTTGTCATCATGGTCATAATTTGATTGCTCCTTTCTTTGATCGTCGGCTGTGTTCTGTCCGCGATCCTGGTGACAATGTTCGTTTCATTAACGTCGCACAAGGGCCACGATCTTCGTGACATATGTGGCTTTGTGGGGCATGTCCGGAAGAAGATCCGTCGCTTGTCGGAATCTGGCAGTTGCTCTACCCTGCAATGGGTTATGACTGTCACAGGGATATGGGGCTGTCACGGATGCGATCCTCTTGACAGTTGGCTTGTCTTAGGACTTATCGGAGCCGTGCTTGGAAAGAGTTTGGAAATTGTCCACCGTCACGGGGACCGTTGGCGGAGTACCGGAATATGTATACATACCTACACACAGACATAATACACGCATGCAATTTTGCAGTGTGCCCGTGTATACAGTGCACGTCTATAAAGGTACATGTACATGCATGTGCATGTAAATCTGTAATTGTAGGTGTTGGTTATATGTATGCTTGTATGCATGTATGCATGTATGTATGTATGTATGTATGTCTACGTATGTATGTGTGTGTAATTATAAGTAGGTAGGCAGGTAGGTGATGGATTGTGAATGTGTGGAAGTGTGGATGCGTCAGCATTTCTGGTTGCAAACTGTAAACTGACGGGTAGAGGAGTTCTGTTTGTGTGTCAGTTGACTGCCTATCGCTAACTATACTGCGCGTCCTTCCGAGTCAGAGGAAGGACACTACATTGTTTTTTGTGCCAAGAGCTTCTGAGACGTCACTCAAGCTTTGGCGGTGCATCGCGATGTGTCGCGATAGCACGAGGTTGAAGGCGGGCCTGTCAGGAAGAAACTTTCAAGGAAAGCTTTAGGAAGCGGTTGGACATTGGTTGTGGGGAGGTAAGCAGCATCAGCGGTGCAGGTTGGAAGGCCGCCCTAGCCGGGTGATAGAAGTGCCATGCCTGCTAGCTGTGCCAACAAGCCACATGCTTGTTCCACCGAACCACGAGTAGCGAAGTTGAAGCCAAGCTTGGGAATTGAAGCTGTCAGTTGCAAGCACAGGCGATGAGAACAAATACTAACATTAAATATGATAGTGTCATATTTAATGTCTAGGCTTCTCAAAGCATTCGATCTAAGGCTTTCTGGATCTGCGGCTCACCGTGGACGATGCTGTGGCGGGTTGCGACGAGGTCAGCAACGTCACCGGAGCATGCTGGAAGGCCGCCGCAACCGGTGATGCGAACAAATCAGACAATGCAGTATCCCTGCAACGTTTGGGACTTGGAGCTTCCTGTTCAGATCTCGCACGTACACACACACACACACGCACACGCACGGCAATTGTCACATATGCTCCCCATTAGTAGACAGTGCCATTGCGGGATATGAGAGGGTATGAGAAGACTTGTATCCTTTCGCGCATTGTGCCCATCCTGTAGGCAAACATGTGCACGCACGGGAAATAGAGTGCCCAAATAGCTGGAGCATACAGCATCTAGAGTTGTTGCAATCTTCAAAGGGCTGGACGACCCGCGTAAAGCGCGCTGATTCCAGCTCTCCCGAAGGTCCACCATTGTCTTCTGGGAGTTCCAGTTGCTAATGTTACTGCAGACCTGCGCCGATTTCTGGAGGCCCGCTTCCACGTCAAGTTCACGAACACGACTCCTGAAATCTGCTCCTTGCATGTGAGAGCATGCATATATAAGCACAACTCTATAGGACACATGACATGTTGAATATTGATATCTGTGTAGTTACCGACCTACCTACCTATCTATCTATCCGTCTATCTGGGGCAGAAACAGCGGGGTTACCACTGCGAAGGAGGGGGGAGGGGGTCGGCGACACGGGAACCAGGATCGCTTATAAATATAAATAGATATAAATGAATATAAATATTATAAATATAAATATATATATATATATATTTATGTATATGGTGTCTCCCCCCCCAATGGATCCACCCTTTTCGCCTTTGAGGTACGCGACGTCGAGCACGATTGGGAGCTTTCGTACACCACCTTGACGAGCATCATGAGCATAAGTTGGGCATCCGCACCGCGTCGCACTTCTGAAAGACAATTAACAGAAACCCTGTACTGTCCCAAAAATACCAGTCTGCTTCTGTAAAAGTGTTGTACTGTCCAAAACAAAGCAAAAAGCAATCTGTTCCAGTCTTGAACGAGCTACCGACTGCAGGCCTTCTAAAAGATTGGTTTTTGGGGCAGTACAGCACTTTTTCAAAAAAGTGTTGTTTTGTGCTGACAGTACAGCACATTGGCAAGAAAATTAACAGCAACACTGTACTGTCCCAAAAAAACCAATCCTTTTTTTGCCAAAGTGCTGTACTGTCCCAAAAAAACAAAACAACAATGTTTTCCAGTCTTGGAACCCGCGAGGTCCCAGGACTTAAAAACATTGTTTTTTTTGTGCTTGTTTTGGGACAGCACAGCACTTTTGAAAATTAACAAAACACTGTACTGTCCCGAAAAGACAAGCAATTTTTCTTTTTGCGATTATGCTGTACTGTTGTGTAACAGCCAGTCTTTGTGATAGAAAAAATGCCTTGCGAGATCCCAGGACGTGCAAAGATTGTTTTTTTTGGGACCGCACAGCACTTTTGCAAGAACGTTAGCAAAAACACTGTACTGTCCAGCCCCCAAAAAACAAACTTTGTATGCGAAAGTGCTGTACTGTCGAATAAAAAACCAAGTTTGTTGATAGACAAAATGCCCTGCGAGGTCCCAGGACCTGAAAAGATTGGTGTTTTTGGGACAGCACAGCACTTTGGCAAATTTGACTGTTTTTTGGGACAGTACGGCACTTATGCAAGAAAATTAACACAAACACTGTACTGCCCCAGAAAAAACAATCTTTCTGGAGGCCGTTACTATGACAGCTGGATTCATCGTAAATTCTCATTCACGGCGTCCACAGCGTGACACCATCGCATCAATATTAGTATTATGGCTTATTGGTATATGACAATACGGATTCTTTAGTACATCGTTGCGCGCATGTGGTGGTATTTCAATTTGATAATACATATTTTTTTCGTATACAGTAGTATGTGTATATATATATATACTAGCATTAACCCTATATGATTTATACTCATATGAGTATGAATGGGATTATCGTATAAGCCTTATTATTCGTGTTAACATAAGTGTTAAATATCAGCATGGACAAGTTGTTCACATTGGTATAAGTATTCAGAATAGTAAATCAAAATTTGAGTATAAATACAAATGTAGGAAGATTAGTACTTCTTATATTAGTAGTATTGGTATTGATATTTGTATCAGTATGTATATTGGTATTAATATTTCTAGAAATATGAAAGTTAGTATTCGTAGGAACACAACTTATCTTAGTATTAACATCACTATGAGTATAAGTACTCGTGAGAATATCAGTATTGAAAAAATCAGTATTTGTACAGTCATTCGTTTTTTACTGGTACTAAGATTAACACTGATATAAATACGAAAACGTTGATTCGTGGGAATATGATTAATCTGAAAATCAATGTTAGTAATAATTAGTACCAGTATTGGTATGAAAAATAATAATACATTTGTATTATGCATAGTAAGCTTACATGAATATATGCATTCGCCTTGATGTAAGCGTTAGTATGTATATTAGTTTGAGTATTACTTAGAGTATTAGCATTCGTAGGAACATTGGTATGTATATTCGTATATTATCGTAGTATATTAGTATATTGATATAGTTGGTATCGCGAAACGTTGGTATATGGAGATGCTGATTCTTTAGTACATTGGTGCGTGCATGTTTTGGTATTTCATTGCAGAAGTATATGCATATTAGTATGCAGCAGTATATGCGTATATATATATATACATACTAGTAACTAGTATTAGTATCATACTAATTAATATGAATATGAATGAGATTATTGCATTAGCTTTTGTACTATAAGCGATGGTGGTAGTAGTAGTAAATTAGTAGTAGTAGTAGTAGTAGTAGTAGTAGTAGTAGCAGCAGTAGCAGTAGTGGCAGTCATCATGCAGCACACTCGTTTACTGCACGTTTCATATATGCTTCGTTTGCTTCACAGCCTGCTGAAACAGCCAAGATGGTGGATCCAGTCTTCAGAAACAGCTGAAATGGTGGAAACCTCAAGGGGATATGTATGCATGTATGTATACATAGTGGTATGTATATATATATAATATATATATATATGTATATATATATATATATATATATTTGTACACATGTACATGTACACGTGCCTATGTATAACGAGGGAGACCAATATTCATACATACTTACATCCATACACCCATACATCCATCCATGCATGCATCCATCCAACCGTCCACACCTACATCGTTACAGACACACATACACAAGCATTCGTACATACATGCATACACACCTTGCATACCTTGCATACCTACATACCGACATAAAAAATATGTACCTCGGTGTACTTACTAACGTACGTACATATATACACAACATCGGTTTAGCGAGTCCTATTTCAAGCAACTTAGGACACATCGGCCTCCTCCAAAAATATGTTTGCACGACGCCTACATGTACAAGCATACCTAGATACCTACATACATACATGCATGCATGCATGCATGCATACATGCGTACTTACGCACGTACGTACGTACATATGCGCATACACACATACACATACACATATGTAGTCATATAGACATACAAACAAACCAGCATACATATGTACGTAGATACATTTGCAGGTACACATCCACATACACGTAGTATGGACATACAAACCAACCAGCATGCATACATACATACATACATGCATGCATGCATGCATGCATGCATGCATGCATGCATGCATGCATATGTCCATGTGTGTATATGTGTCAGCCTCTGTACAAGATACACACTACAATCGGTTCGAAAAAGCATCTTGTACGGAGTCAGCATACGGTACAGGTACAGAATGCCATAATGTTATTGCATCGACAAGCGAGTCTGGTTCAAACGAGTAAGCATGCAGGCGAGACTCTACAGCAAGCACACGGACTTTGCGGTTTGCAGACACAGCCTGGAAAATGAAGCCTTGCGGAAATGACAGGACGACGAACAAGATGCGCAGCGGCAGGGAGAGCTCGTGCTGCTGGGCACGGTTCAGAGTTTGTGCGTCTCAACCCCGGGATACGTAAATGCACTATGCTCTCTCGGGCTCTCTCTCGCTCTACATCTACACACAAGTAAAGTATATATGTGTAATATGTGTATAATATATGTACAATGTATGTATTGTTGATATAAATAATATATATATATATATTTTTATATCTTTATTTATTTATGTTTATATCTATCTGTGGTCAGGCGATCTGCAGCCCCCTCCCCCCCTCCCTATCCATGGTCCAGGATGCCACCCTGCCCCTTAATGTGAGGTGGGGTGTGGGGTCCTCTTCCGTGGGGTGAGGTTGGTCAGGGTTTACGTTCTGCTGTAGGCTTAGATCCTGCATTTAGGCGGGGTTTAGGGTTGTGTGTAGGTTCAAAGTACAGGTTAAGGTTAATAAACACAGGAACACGCCCTATAAACCACTACCAGACTATAAAATTTCGGTGGTTTCTTTTCAGCCAGACGGCTGACTATGTATGTGTATATGTATATATATATATAATAAAATAGAATATGCGTTATAATAGAATATAATCTAGTATCATGTAATAATAGCATGTATTATCTCTTAATAGAATGGAACAGAATGAAATATAATAAAAATGGAATGTAAGTTAACAAAATAGACTGTAATATATTATAATAGAATGTAATATAATAAAGAAGAATGTAATATATAAAAAGAATGCAAGGAAATATAATAGACTGTACTGTAGTATAACAAAATGTAATAGAGAATTTAATAGACTGTAATACAATATAATAGAATGTAATAAAACATAATATCATGTACTATAATCTAATAAAAGATAATGTAGTACAGTATAATACAATACCCTACAATATGTGTATATATATATATGTATATGTAGATAAATAAATAAATATATATATATATATATATGTGTACATACACACACACACACATATATATATATATAGCACACATATACCGAAATATACAGATGAATGAACCTGTGATATATGTATGTATGTATGTATGTATGTATGTATGTATGTACGTAAGTAGGTAGGTAGGTAGGT